GCATACGCAATGTACCCCCTTGTTAATTACTCGCGACTCATTTAAAAGTATTTAAAATAAAACGTTAAATAAAACTTGTAATCGACTGCAAATTCTTTTTAATTCATCTTGACAGCGTCGCTATACGGGAGTTATCTGAGCTATTTCTCTGTCTGGATTCCTGTTCCCTTTCTCAACTTGGCTTAAGGAGAGTGATAAGCTGTCTAAATACGATTTAGTTGCATAAAGCATGTGTGAACTCTTCTAGTAGTTATTCCTGAGCAGACCATTTTCTGGTCTCACCTCTTTCTTGACGGTGTGGGGCCCATAGCAAGGGAAGCTTCCGGTTGCTTCTTCTCTCGCCAGTTTATCCACTCTAGTTGAAGGTGGCATGTAAAAAAGGCCTTTTTCAGATGCTTTTTAATTGTTGATGCTTCCGCCATGGCAGGAGTATGATGTATGTATATTGGAACGAATTTCCGTCATCACTTGTAAATTTTGCCTTATTCAGTGTATTTTTCCGTTCTCGAAAAAAATTCGTTCCATAATACATCAGCTTGTCCAACATTGGCATCGATTATCTAATTGTTGTTTGGGAATTGGTGGCAGCTTTCACCCATCATTTATTTTGACTATAGGGTAATGGTATCGCTTGGTGGCGGGATGGTGGCATACACCTGCAACTTCAGAAAACCCCAATATTCGGGCCAAAAGCAATCGACTGCGAACATCGTCCTTCGCCAATCCGCATTTAATGTCCATATGAATATATATTCTAGACTGTTCCTACTCTTTTCCAGGCTACTTTACAGTACCTGAACTGGACTGTCGTTGTACAGATTTGCAGTTGAAATTCCGGAAAGCTTTGCCCGCAAGTTAAGCTTTGATCGTCAGCAGCCTAAATGTACGAACCCGCAAGACTTTTTCAGCAACTGTTGAAAGTCAGTATTTAATAAAATTTATTCTAAAAAATATTGAACCCTTACAGTATAACCCTCAAATATATTGAACACATATATTGGAAGGGGCGGGGTGAATGGGGCTACTGAGAGAGCTATTGTTAAAATGTGATTTATAGCATCCAAGTTCCTTGATTGACAGCATAAACGATTTCCTTATTACAATAAGCATGTCCGCACGATATTGTGATATAGGCGTTCTCTCTTTCTGCTCCTGCATTGGTTTATACCTAGAAAATCCCGACTAGGATAACCAGTGTAAGAGCGCTTTGAATTTTCCTAAATGAAATTTGCTTGAAATTGTTACGTAAATCCCCGGTGCTAAATATTCGCACTCCTAGGTACAAGACAGTATATGTATATATTACAGTATATAGATGTATGGTTCCATAGAGAACCCTATCTCGGAACGATCGCGCTCAGGAACTAAAAAGGAATAGCTTATAATCGCTTTCGGCTGAACAAAGGGAGCATACTTTACTCCGGCTGGGTGAGTACATGTGGGAATATATATATATATAGATTGGCGCTTACACAAATGTTAGTGTTTGGCCGAGCTTCTCCTCCGATTTGTGCTGTGTGCCTTGATGTTGTCCCACAAAGCGGAGGGACCTACAGTTTTACGCCGACTCCGAACGGCGATTGTATTTTTATGATAAGCTGTTTTTCATGGCAGAAATACACTCGGAGGTTTGCCATTGCCTGCCGAGGGACGACCGCTGTTAAGAAAAAACCTTGGGAATATACATATATATAATATCGCTGGTATTACAGCACCGCTAGAAATGGCACGTGCCACTGATTTCATGTCGAAATTGTACAAACTCATCCGTACTCGATCCGCCCTCATCGAGGAAGGTGAAGTAGTTAATTGCTAATGGCGCTGATCGCATTTAAGTTTGTGAAGTCAGTTGAGTGGAATTCAAGTGGATGTATGTATCTGCGTACAAACATATATAGAGACATAGAGATTTATCAATATTGCTGGTTTGCTGCAAGAACGTCACAAATCCAAGAGTAATATAATACAATTTTTTCGAGTCGCGGTCGAGTGGTTAGAGGTGCACACTATCAATCGTTAGGTTCAGGGTTTGTTCCAAGCGACATATAGAAACGTTTTTTTCTCTGCTCTTTTACTCTGACGATTACTCAATGGAGACGTCCGCCAATGGCTTTGATGACCTTTGTTTCCAAGTAAATAGCTATCTCTCCTCTCCGATTTGTCTCGCCTTTTCACTGCATGGAGCCTTACTTCACCCATGCAGGGCTGAGACCTTTTTCACAGCTGGACGACGTAGATCAAGTTGCATTTACATAGCCGCAGAAAAGTCACTCACCCGCGGGAATTCGTAATTATATAAGAATAATAGTTTTTGATAACATACAAGGCTATTTAGCGGCCGGTTCTAGTGACGCATTGTATGAGTGGTCTGCGGGTAAAAGTAAAACCCTTCTGACTTGTCAGAGCTCCGCGATCCGGATGGCAACGGGATGCCTTCTGATGTCGCCTAAGCTACGCCTGTATGAGTAATAGGCAAGCAATCAAAGCTGGCTTGCTACCGCCGGCATCATCCAAAAAGATAATTTTTGGTAGCAGAACTGCCTCGTGGGCACGGCAGAAAACATTCCTGAGAACTCACGGACGAGTGCTTTAACAGCTGAGGGACAGGGCTGCCTTTGGCCCGACCTCGTCGAATTTGCCCGTTTATTGGGCCTGTCGTTAGTTGAGCTTCAAGACAACGATTGCCGGATTTAGGCACCCCTTAGTAATGTCACCACATGCCGAAAGGAAAGTATGAATTACGTCAAACCCACCTTACACGATACGAGATTTTGCAGAAGCATTGAGAATCAAGGAAATAAGAAGGAAACATTTCCACCTAAAGTAACTAGTATTATGCTGCTGAAAAGTGAAAAAAGCGAACCTTTTTTGAAAAGGCTGATGAGAATTTAATTCCTTGCAGCAATATGGAATACACTCATTTGCCGCCAATTAGAACATCACGAAATGAAGGTTACGCTAAAGCTGTCATCCGGAAACGCGTGGAACTTGTCTATGGTAAGGGAGTAGTGTCGCATCACGACAGCGCGTAACTGCAGATAAATATTGGACGACTGGTAAAAAAATTTGACTTTTTTAGTTATGACGTTCCACCAGCAAACGAGCAACATGCACTTGTGCAGACATGTAGTGACGGCTATAAAGCGCTAAGGCGGTCGCCTAATCATATGTTGGCCTTGCAAAGAAAAGCAGACGAAAAAAATAAAACCTTGCTTCTGTGTGGATGATTATTATTATTTTTTTTTTAGTTTCTTTTTATTTTAACAATTTATCACATTTTCCAATCTCATTTGCCCGTCAATAGGTAGTCAATTGGAAATGTTACGCGCGTTGCTGCCGCTTAAGCCAACTCCACACAAGCGTATGCAAATGCGCATGCGCCATGGCTGGCGATCGTCAATGAGCCAACCGCACAATAAGCCAGCAGACTAGCCAGCTAGGCGGCGGCTGCGTGGTCTTGAGTTTGCCGGCATTGCATTACTTTTTTTTGATTATTTCGCTTTGCGCGCATTTGTTTAGCGCTGTAAAAGCAAAGTATTTGCTGCTAAGCGATGATGTATTTACTATTTCGATTGATAAGGCTGACACCGATTTCAAAGTTGTACATAAGTACTTACATATACATATCAGTGTTCGGTGGTAGTGCTGCTGCTGATCATTGTGGGTCAATCGTACTCTTATGTGTTTTTTTTTTTCAGTTCTTTTTTTTTGCAAATTTGTTGTTAACTTTGGCTGCGCATAATACTTTCAGATTTCTAGCAAATAATTTTATGATTTCTTCAATCACTTTGACTTTTGCATATTTTTCGCCATCATTAGCATTCATTAGCATCTGCTTGAAATAAGTTTGAAGCGAAAAATGTCAAAATTAGTACGTATACTTGACTTTATTTGCCAAGTCGCAACGCTGAATTGCTATGCGCTCAAAGTCACCGCCGCGTGGCATTGTGATTTAAAGATGCACCGCGCCGATGCGCACGCTTATGCGTTTTGAATTTGATGGTACGAGTATATCAAGTATTTAACCCGAATAGTATGTTATCATTACCAGAACTTCTGGCGCGACAGTGCTTTCGACAAATAAACGCGCCTCATTTATCAATAATTTACGCGCGCACATTCATGACTAAGGAGATCGCAGCGCGCTGCGTTAGTTGCTATGATCCTACAGCGGCGCATAATATTTCATACTCTGTTGCTGGCGGTAAATTAGCTGCGCGTACCTACGTACATAAATATGTACACCGCGCCACTTGATACCTGCGGCGTTCATTGCAGCGCGGATGTCCTATTGCCGTTGCTATTTAAATCTAACCATTAACGCCATTGGTGTTCCTTGTGCGGTGCTGAGCTATTGCAAATACTAATTTTTAAATACTCGCACTTATTTTATAGTTTACGTTGGCGCGCATGCTTTGGGCTTAAGTCGCTGACTTAGTTTGTTTCAACGTTTCATTGGGCATAACTCTCTGTAGTGCCCATTTGTTATTAACTTTGCTATTGTTGTAAACGCTTTTGCTTTTATTTTTCGGTGTATATTTTAAACATGTTTTTTTTTTGTTTTACTTTTATCTCTCACCTCTTTCTTTATATTATCCTCTAATTCGCGCCTGGCATTGTAGATTTGCGCTTTACAGCCGCACTGAAGCGTCATCGTCGTGGCGTTGCTAGTTTGGTCTCCAAGTCTCAGGTTTTTTCGCCTTCTTCTTTTACTTGTATGTAGTTTTATTGTTTTTTTTTTTTGCAAATCTTTTTATTTTACTTTTCGGGGGTAGTAGGTAGCATTTATGTACTTATGTATTTAAGTATTTGTTGTACATGCATATTGTAAATCACTAAAACAAGTTTGCTGGCCCTAGCATTGTTGCGTGACGCGTCGCCAAATGTTATGCGCTGTTGCGATAGCCGGCCGTTGCGGGGGGCAGGTGATTTGTGTTGTGCCGCGTTAAAACCTTTAGTGTGTAAGCATAATTTTGGTATAAATTGGTCAGTCGGTTTGTGGAACAGCATCAGTTCCAACGGTCTCTTCGTACAGCTAAGTAGTCTCATCCTTAGAAACCACACATAGATCATCAGAGCAAAATGGTGGGTGAACGGAAAAGTTAAAAAGCAACGACTTTTTGGTATTAGTGTTCCAGAAACTTAGAGGTTTTCAAGTGTGCTGGGCAAAGTGAACCAATTTTTGAAATGCAACTTTGAAGCAATCTGTCTAAAACAACTTTTGGAGTGAATTTGAGTTTTAAAATCGAAAAAAAAATTTTAACAATATCAATAAACGATATTCAAATGCACTGATTTTTTCGAAAAAAAATCGGTATACAGATCTTAAAAAAATACTCGGTGTATATTATGTAAAACCCAAAAAAAAAACNCACAACTTTTGGAGTGAATTTGAGTTTTAAAATCGAAAAAAAAATTTAACAATATCAATAAACGATATTCAAATGCACTGATTTTTTCGAAAAAAAAAATCGGTATACAGATCTTAAAAAAATACTCGGTGTATATTATGTAAAACCAAAAAAAAAACAAAAACAAATTGGTCTGGTGAATTTTTACCGGCGAAGTGCAGAATTAAAAAATTTCCTTAATTAGGAAAATAACAAAAAAGTATTATTGTATATTTTCTAGAATGACATTTTTTTTAAATAATTAAAATAAATATTAAAAACAAATTTAATTAGATCTTCAATTTAGATTTTTTTGCTTTTAATAAATTTTTCTGCATTGCAAAAATGCAAATAGTACTGGTTTCTTCAATACCTGCTTTGAAAAATAAAAAACATGTAGTCTTTCGATAGAGTTTTTAAACAACCAGTTTCAAGAAAGCAGTTTATTTTTTTTTAATTAAATATGAAAACTTACCGGCAGATAGTTTCGAAAAAATTTGGTTTTTCGAAAAAAAAAATTATGGATAACAAATTAAACAACTATTCAATTAACACTCAACCATTTTTTTTTTAATTTTTATAATTTTATAAAAACGTTTGTAATTTAAAATTTCTTCTATATTAACCTTTTGTTATTTTTCAAATTAAGAAATAACTGCCGTTACGCGCATCAAATAATTTCACTTTGAATAAAAGATTTGTAAACAAACATTTTTTACAAAAAAAAAAATGCCGGTATCACCAGAAAATTTAAGTAATAAATGATTTTTTCCCTTCTATCAGTTTTCGTACTAAACTCAAATCGTTTTTCACCTAAATTGCTTCCGTGCAACTTTTTTTGATTTGAATAATTTTTTCAGTATTTAAAAAAATCATTTCATTTTTTTTCTCTTTTCCAAAGAAAGAAATAACTTTTTTATGATTTTTTATATCAATAATTTGTTCAAGATTTAAAAAAATCAATCGAAAATCTATATTCTCTTCCATTTTTTCTGTTTGTAATGTCCTAAGTAAGAAATAACAGAATACCTAATCATTTCAAAGGAAATTTAAAATTTTCATACAAATATATTCTAATTAAATCAAAAATTGATATCAGCGGTTAGGTTTGAATTTTTTTCAACTTTAATTAGACTTTTTGCACATAAAAAAACTCTATCGAATATCTGTACTCACTTCTCCATATTTTGTTTTGTTTCTTTTCCTAAGTAAGAAATAAATAGTTTTACCTAAAAAATGAAAATTTCAAGCACAAATTTTCTAAATTAAGTCAAAAATTAAAATAGTTAATGTTTGAGGGCTTTTTTTCGATGCTAAATATTTTTCTAAGTTTTATAAAATTTGCTGTCCTAATGTTACGTGATTTGTTTTTCCACTTTGCTTATTCCAAGTCTTAACGGTAAATAATTCCTTTTAGGAACCTTTACTCCAAAAAGCCAACAATACTTTTTTATTTTGTTAATTTAGTTTTGCAAATTTAGAGTTTTAAATCTAAAATTAAACCAAACTTCATGATAAAATAATAATTATTTATAAGAAAACACGAAAGCCAATTAAACAATTTACTCACTTTTAATCACCTTTTCAAAATAATTTTTAACAACTTTTTTGTAATAACATCTTCTTAAATGTTTTACTGAAAAAGTTTAAGAATATATTTATTTTCGCCATTTATAAAAATGCAATAAAGATTAATTTTTTCAAAACCAACAATGTTCTAAAAGTGAACACATAATATTATGTACATACTTATATGAACATAGTTATTTTTCGTCACTCATCTCAATTGAAATCTTTCTTTCGTTGCAGAAACTCTTCATTGCCGCCACTCTTGCCTTGATCGCCGTCGCTTCGGCTGATGTCAGCCACTTGTCGAGGTCATACCTGCCACCTGCTCCAGCTCCAGCTCCACAATACTTGCCACCCTCCAGCAACTATGGTGCACCATCTTACTCCTCAGGTGGCATCGGCGGCGGTTCATACTCGTCGGGTGGATCACTTGGTGGTTCCCTTGGTGGCTCATACTCGTCCGGTGGTTCCCTCGGTGGGTCATACTCCTCAGGCGGTTCCCTAGGTAACTCATACTCGTCGGGTGGTTCGCTCGGTAGTGGATACTCGTCGGGTGGTGCCCTCGGTGGCTCATACTCTTCAGGTGGATCCCTGGGTAACTCATACTCTTCAGGCGGTTCCCTTGGTGGCTCGTACTCTTCAGGTGGTTCGCTAGGTGGCTCATACTCATCCGGAGGTGCTGGTGGTTCATACTCATCGGGTGGTGGTTCCTCGTACTCTGCCCCATCAAATGAATACTTGCCACCTGTGCAAAGCTACTCACCACCAGCTCCAGTCTACTCTGCTCCTGCACCCGCTCCAGTCTACTCGGCTCCATCATACTCCTCAGGTGGTAGTGGTATCAGTTACTCCAGCGGCGGTGATGGTGGTTCTTACTCTAGCGGTGGCTCATACTCAAGCGGTGGCTCTTCTGGATACTCTGGTCCATCTAACACGTACTTGGCTCCAGCGGCGCCCAGCTACTCAGTGGGAGGTCCTTCATACTCGTCGGGTGGTTCCTCTTACTCATCGGGTGGTTCATCGTACTCTGGCGGCGATGTTGGTACCCAGTATGCTTCGAACGGTGGATACATCTACAGAAAGAAGTAAATCGATTGGAACTGTGATTAGTTAAACTGTGTTTGTGCTGTTTATGAGGTCCTTAGCAGAAACAGTGTTTACCGTTAAATTGCTGAAGGTACTTCATACTTACAAGTTAAAAACAACCATCTCATTACATGTTGTAAATAATTCTCTTGTTTTATTAAATATATTTTTGTTTAAAAAAGATTATTTTAATGTGTTGATTAATTTGAAAACTCTGTTCTGAAGTAATAATTTTAAATTGAGCACTTATTTATGAGGCAGTGATGATGTACTTCTCGGCATCAATACAG